ATAATTAGTGAGATGTGGTTAAGGACCATGAAAAAAGGGAGGAGAAACCTTCACTCTTTTTCATCTCCTGTTTAAACGGCACCAGCTGTGACATGACTACAGCTCGGATGGGATTGTTTAACCTGACCCACTACATGTCACTTATGGATTTTTTTTTTTAGAATTTAGACATGAAATTCATGTTCTAATGGATTTAGTCTTCTAAATATGAAAAGAGCCTCTGAATTGTCAACCTGTGTCTATTTTAAGGCATTAAAATACACTGTCGTCCTACAGAAAATAATTATTTAAAACTAGATACTGCATAGCAGTAACATAATGACCCCCGAACTCAGAAGTCTTTATTCCTAATAAATGTCACGCTACTAGGTACATCCCAAAATTGTAGTGGTTTAGGTGGAGGGCTTTTTTTTGGAGGGGGGGGGGGGTTGGACCTGATGGATAGCCCCTCATCAGAGCTAAACAACCAAAGAAATCTGAATCTCCTGTGTTTAATAGTTTTTGAGCTATAACCATTTATGTATGTCCAGATACCCCTTTTTCAGATAAATTGGGGGTCCGGAGGTTGGGGGCACTGATTGGTGAGCCTGATGGATAGAGCTTCATCAGAGCTAAACAACAAAAGAAATCTGAAGCTTCTATGTTGAACAGTTTCTGAGTTATAAGCGATTTTGCATGTCCAGACACCCCCTCTTTGAAAGGAGCCCCCTCCTCAAATATGGGGTCTATCGTAAAACCGTTAGCTGGCGCAGTGTAGGTCAGACTCATCTACAGCCCTGCCAAATTTCATGTTGATCGGTGCAAGCCGTTTTTGTGGTACGGTTGACCAAAAATCACAGAAAAATTAAAAAAAATAAACAGTACGAAAACAATATGACTCTCGCTTACGCTTCGCGTGCGAGGGTCATAATAATGATGCAACTATTTGTGGCAGGTCAGAAAAGTACCTGCTTGGTCTTGTAACGTCCTCAGGTAATAAAAATCCACCTGTGATGCAGCAATCATGGCTGAACTTTAACATCATTTTAAGTCAACAGCTCTACCTTTGCTGGCGGACACCTGCTGATGTGTGTCCACGTCTCTTCTGCCGTAGCAGACAGGCGCAGCACCTGGACACACCTGGGAGTTCCCTGATGGGGTTCTGTCCAGACCAGACTCGGGTGGATCCAGGAGTAAGCACACCCTCTGCTGTTCGCTGGCCGAGGCACAGCTTTCATCACTTCCTGTGGATGTTTGGTTGTGTTTCCATCAGCTGCAGGTTTTACTCCTGCTGTGTAAAGAACTGCACTCAGAAACTGATTTCATTTGTTTGCGTAGATGTTTGTACCCAGTCTCTAGCACCATATGAAATCAGTGTTCTGGGAGGTGGATTTTCAGCATGTACACACTCTGTACATGAACAAACCGGTCTCCTTAAAGTCCTGAACCTTGTCGCCCTGTAGACCTAAACCTGGTTACCCTAAAGTCCAGTCCTGTATGCTGCTTTAACAACCTGCTCACCTCTTCAGGTCACAATCCTGGTTTCATGAATTACTGTTAGGTTTCTTTAATTGTGCAAATTCATCATCTGCATTTTGTTGTTGTTGTTGTTGTTGTTGTTGTTGTTGTTGTTGTTGTTGTTGTTGTTGTTGTTGTTGTTGTTTTCCAGAGCATTTAGAAGATGAGTGCCACGCATGACTTTTGTAACTTTTATATTTGTATTAAACTTTATTTTGAAATATTTTCCAAATAAAAAAGCATTGAAACCCCTTCAGTTCCTCCAAAAACATTATTCTCTTTGAAATCTGCTTCAGTGTACACTCACCGGCCACTTTATTAGGTACACCACGCTAGTAATGGGTTGGACCCCCTTTTGCCTTCAGAACTGCCTCAATTCTTCGTGGCATAGATTCAACAAGGTGCTGGAAGCATTCCTCAGAGATTTTGGTCCATATTGACATGATGGCATCACACAGTTGCCGCAGATTTGTCGGCTGCACATCCATGATGTGAATCTCCCGTTCCACCACATCCCAAAGATGCTCTATTGGATTGAGATCTGGTGACTGTGGAGGCCATTTGAGTACAGTGAACTCATTGTCATGTTCAAGAAACCAGTCTGAGATGATTCCAGCTTTATGACATGGCACATTATCCTGCTGAAAGTAGCCATCAGATGTTGGGTACATTGTGGTCATAAAGGGATGGACATGGTCAGCAACAATACTCAGGTAGGCTGTGGCGTTGCAACGATGCTTAATTGGCACCAAGGGGCCCAAAGAGTGCCAAGAAAAGATTCCCCACACCATGACACCACCACCACCAGCCTGAACCGTTGATACAAGGCAGGATGGATCCATGCTTTCATGTTGTTGACGCCAAATTCTGACCCTACCATCCGAATGTCGCAGCAGAAATCGAGACTCATCAGACCAGGCAACGTTTTTCCAATCTTCTCTTGTCCAATTTCGATGAGCTTGTGCAAATTGTAGCCTCAGTTTCCTGTTCTTAGCTGAAAGGAGTGGCACCCGGTCTGGTCTTCTGCTGCTGAAGCCCATCTGCCTCAAAGTTCGACATGTTGTGTGTTCAGAGATGCTCTTCTGCCTACCTYGGTTGTAACGGGTGGTTATTTGAGTCACTGTTGCCTTTCTATCAGCTCGAACCAGTCTGCCCATTCTCCTCTGACCTCTGGCATCAACAAGGCATTTCCGCCCACAGGACTGCCGCTCACTGGATGTTTTTTCTTTTTCGGACCATTCTCTGTAAACCCTAGAGATGGTTGTGCGTGAAAATCCCAGTAGATCAGCAGTTTCTGAAATACTCAGACCAGCCCTTCTGGCACCAACAACCATGCCACGTTCAAAGGCACTCAAATCACCTTTCTTCCCCATACTGATGCTCRGTTTGAACTGCAGGAGATTGTCTTGACCATGTCTACATGCCTAAATGCACGGAGTTGCCGCCATGTGATTGGCTGATTAGAAATTAAGTGTTAACGAGCAGTTGGACAGGTGTACCTGATAAAGTGGCCGGTGAGTGTACTTTTTCTGTTTTTGTCTTTTTATGCTATTTTTAGCTTTTAGCTGGTCTTCTACTTATATCTATTTTATTACTTTATACTTTTGGATATAGACTTCCTGTTTTATGCCCACTCTTCTCTCTCACATCCGTTTTTAACTCCACCGTAGCTCATCACTTGTCATCATTAATCATTTAGGCTATAAATAATATTTCTGATCTTGCTTGCTCTTATTTTCTGCTTCTTCTTTGCTACGTCTCAGATTAGTTTGTTTAAATTACTTCCTGGTTTCAGTGTCATTAAAGTTTAGGTTTTCTCTTCTTCTGTTGCCCCCTGCCTGTTGGCTCCTCTTTACCCACTTACTCATCTCTTCCTCAGTTTTTCATAAAATCATCACTATTCATGTACTTTAGTGTTCCAACATTCATAAAATCACCCAGAAATGTGTTGCTTAGTGTTTTTAAGTTTATCAATCATTGATCTACAACAATCTATCATGATGTGATTTTGAAAAAACATCAATTTTTTTCACTCATCTGTACTATTTTCATCTGTCATGATTATTTCTTCACTGTTTTTAGCCTCATAAGTGAACATGATGATTTACTGGGAAAATATCAGATTATAATAAAACAGAAGTTTTAAAATAAAAAGCTTTGACTCTTTTTTTGTTCCACTCAAAGAAATAATCTTAATTAGAGCAATAAAAATAGCAGGTTTACAGGAGTAAATACAGCACAGTGGGAATAACTTTATTATTACTTTTTATTTTTATTATTATTATTTGGTATTCAGAAGTGCTAGAGTACAGTTGTTCTACAGCCAAGTATTTACTGCTGCTCCAATCACACGTGTTTCTGCTCAGTACCAACATTACATGTTCTTCTCCCCATGACTTTATGTAAACATTGCAGCAGCGACTGCAGGCATGATGGGTATTTTTTAATAAAGTGGAGCTTCAATTGATGAAAAAGAAGAAATGCAGAGTTTAAGGTTCTCATCACGTCTCGCTCAACCTTGAGTCTCAGATTAAAGTGAAAAGATGTTTGGATTCCTGATAAAATATTGAATTAATATGAAAAGTTTAGAAAGAAAGTTTCTGCTGACTCCAAGGTTTTCATCCAGCTTAGAAAAAATACAGTCATGTCTGTTACAGAATCTGAAAACAGTTAATAAATAAAGTAAATTAGGAAAAGTTACAGATGGGAGCACTGCTTATAAACTGACAAAAATGTTCTGAAAACATTTTTTTGTTTGTTTTTGTAACTGAATAATAAATCTTTACACACCATTCAAAGAAATAATAATAAAAAAAGACTGTTCTTTAGTTTTTAGGTTCATTTTGTCAGGGCTGTGTAATAAGATACCAGTTTTCCCCTGACCGACTTCAGGGGGCTCTGCAGAGCTCTTCACAGCTGAAATAACAACCAGACTTTATCAAGGCCACACACACACACACACACACACACACACAC